TCACCTCCATTCCTCCTAGAAATTACCCCTCTTATGTGTGAAACAGTAATTAGGTGCCAGCTTAAGTAAAAAGAGCTTAACATGTAGAAATGTCAGTAAAATTAATGAGAGGGGCTGCCCTTGCAAATAGTTCCTTATTGCAGATTTAACTTTTGTGCTTCTTGCTACCTTCCCTATCACTCCCTGCAAAGCTGCCTAGGATTAAAAACCAGAGAGAGGATCATCATGCTGCACAGAAGTAGTCTCCAGCATTGATAATGCAGAAGAGAGAGAGAGAAAGAGACTTTTTTATTTTTTAAAAAAAAACTGAGCTAAAAATAAAGTTTCAAATACTTCAGTACAATTACACTATGCCATCTTGCGGCTCCTCAAACATATGTCAAAATCTCAGTCCATATGCTCAGTTGGTTTGCTTGTTACAGAGTGAAGAATAGCTAGCTGCCCATTAATCCTCTCAAGAGAGAGTGTTGGCCAAGAACTTCCGACTTGGGCAGCCGCCAAATGGTATTGCAGCTGAAAGCAAGAAAGGTGCCCGCTGGAGACTGGTAAGAAGCTCAAGGTCAGAAGCTGTGTGGTCTGTGTGGGAAAATGGGAAGGGAGAGGGAAAGGAGAAAAACGAGGCCACATGACAATCTGTATATGCTACCATGGAAACGTGTCACGCAGCACGAAGAAGACATTGCAGAGTCCCTGCTGACTAAGAGTCTCCTAGCCTAGGCCTTTTCTTGAATCATTTATGTGTGGTGTCAGGAGGCAACAAAACAAAGAAGATAGGTGGGCAAACAATACCATTCTGTCTCCCAGTCTTGATGACGGGATGCCTTTGCGGTCTGCAGAGCTGAGAGGAAGTCAGCCTTTTTTTTTCCCTGGTGGCGCCTTGCCCCACCACGCTGGCCTCCTGCACATGAATTGGTTTGTGCTACTATGTTTTTTGAGACAGGCATGCACAATCAGTGCTTAGTTTAAGGCAGGAAAGCTAGAATAGCCCTTAATGAAATTGTTGTTGGCTTCGAGACCTGTGTTTCCCACCTTGGGTCTCCAGCTGTATTTGGACTACACTTCCCATCATCCCTGACCACTGGTCTTGCTAGCTAGGGATGATGGGAGTTGTAGTCCAAAAATAGCTGGAGACCCAAGGTTGGGAAACACTGATCTAGACCGTCTTGGCTGAAGACCGGCTCCCTGCCTTGCAGGCTTTTCCTCACCTGGCCTGGGAGGACAGGGCCCCCACTGACTCCAGCTACAAAAGCTGCAGCTGCTGAACAGAGTCTTAGGCTGCGGGGTTGTTTGGGGGCTTGAGAGAACTGTTGCTGTTGACTTTCATTTTTTTAATCTTTATTATAGATATCGTGTTGGAATTGTTTGGTTTGGTTGTGCATGAAATGTTTTATTTATTGTTTGTGACTACTTTTGTTATGTTGTAGTTATGTATTTTTTCATGTTGTAAGCTGCTTCGAGCATGGTTTGAACTGAAGAAGGGAAAAATACAAATAAAATTATGAATGTATGTAGACCTGGGTTCATTTGGCCTCTCTGCGAAGATTACCAAGGCTCAACCACTAACACACGTTTAGGGTGACTATGTGTTTCTATCTTCTAGACGGGCAGGCTGCAGGCCTCTAATTTGAAAGGCTGTCAGATGACAGGCCTTTATTTTAGGATATCCTTCTTCTTTTTTTGAAAGGCTGTCCAGTCCAAGTTTGACTTTAGATAAAGAATCATAAAACAGGGCAGCAAAAGTCTTGACGTTGCCCTTCAACAGTTTGCAGAACCTAATCAGCACGCTGAACTGGCACACAAATTGACTTCCCTGTTACAGCGAGAAGCACTTTATTTCTAGTTAGATTATAAAAATTATGTCTAAATCAGTGTCTTTACAAATACAATTACCATTTGCAAATGTTGTGCAAATTGGTATTCTTTGCTGTCCTCTTTTTGGGGGAGGCAAATCCTCCTTTTCGGCAATGCAGAACTGGACACCCTACACAGGCTTCTGCTGCAAAAATTAAACAATTTCTTCTAGTGGTCTCACACAGCCTGCTTGTACTGGGCCTTGTGGCTTGCATCTTAACAAAACAAAAAACAAACACAACAGCAGATAATGGGACCCAGTCATTACAAAAAGCAAAGGAGTTGGGCCCTCTTTAACTACTCTGAAATTCAAGTATTATCCAAAATCAAAGATTTGGCTGGCTATTTTAAATCACATGCAGGCCTCCTCTCACTGTCGGTACCTTATTGTTTTGCCTTTATTGGCCACTGTCCCCATTCTTCTCCAGCATTCATGTACTGTATAGCCATCCATGGCACACAAACTCTTGTCAGCTGCATCCCTGCCTTCTGTCCCAGAAGTCCTTGAATCCCTCAGGTGGTCTCTTGTTTTCAGACAACCCCCTGGTGGGGACCTGCATGAAGTGTTTGGCTGTTCCCTTTAATCACAAGATGCCACATTTTTGTTTTGTTTTACATAGGCTGTTTTCTATCCTGCCTTTCTTTTTCCCTCTCTTTTCCCTTGAACGGTCTCGTCTCCCGTCTATCTTTCACCCCCTCTCTCCCCTTGTACAATTTCCTGTTCCTTCTGCCTTTTGTACTCTCTCCCTCTTTCTGGCTTGCCACTGCGATTGTTGTGCCCCAGACCATTCCATCCTCTTCCTCTTACTCTTTCCCCTCCCTCGTTGTCTTCACTGGGGCAGCACAAATCCCCTTTGTAGCTTACCTCTTTTCCCCCTGCGTCATCCATCTTCTTCCCTCATAGCTCTCTCCTCACCCTCCAAACTGTTCTGGTTTCATTGTATTTTCTGTCTTCCTCCTCTGTTGCTCCTGTCCATTTCCCCACTGAAATCTGGGTCAGGCACTCCCACATTGCAATGTTTCAACTGCTGGATAGTCTCTGCCTCCACCCAGCATGAGACAACCCTACACAGCTTGTCTACACAATTTGTAACACCACTGTGTTATTTTGGAAGGCCTGAGGAGCCACCCTGAGGTAAAACCTGTCCACATGGGTTCCGTTCACAACTTCTCTTGCCCACAGGCACTTCTGACCCCTGAGAAGCCTTTCTGGAGGATTAGGAGACCTTCCTGAACAATGTGGGACACAGTGCTGAATTGTTACAAGAGAAGGGAATAGAAAATTTTCCTTCCTTGAACTTGTTGAGTTAACTTGGAACCCAAATCCAGTTCCAAAGCACAACTGAAGCCCGCCCCCAACTTCGCCCTGTGGCCCATCTCACATTATTCATGAGGTCCTCCAGAAAGGGAGGGACCATCGTTCAGTGCTAGAGCATCTGCAGTTGGTCCCTTACCTTTCCCGCCCCGACCTGGCCACAGTGAGCCATGCGACGGTCATCTCCAGGCTTGACTACTGTAATTCGCTCTATGCGGGGCTGCCCTTGAAGCTGTCCCAGAAACTCCAGCGGGTGCAGAATGCTGCAGCGAGGCTCCTCACGGGGTCTTTGCCATGGGAGCATATTCACCCAGTGCTTTTCAAGCTGCACTGGCTCCCGGTAGAGTACAGGGTCAGATTTAAGGTGCTGCTTTTGACCTTTAAAGCCCTTCACGGCCTAGGACCCTCGTACCTACGGGACGGCCTCTCCTGGTATCCCCCACGGAGAGCCTCAAGGTCCATAAATAACAACACCCTAGTGGTCCAAGGCCCTAAGGAAGTTAGATTAGCCTCAACCAGAGCCAGGGCCTTTTCAACTCTGGCTCCGGCCTGGTGGAACGCTCTGCCTCATGAGACCAGGGCCCTGCAGGATCTGATTTCTTTCCGCAGGGCCTGTAAGACAGAGTTGTTCCGCCTGGCCTTTGGCTTGGAGCCAATTTGATTCCCTCCCTCCCTCTCTTTCTTTTTTCTTTTCCTTCTCCTCCTGCAATGAGGCTACATTTTAATATTTTAATGTTTCAATATTTTAATGTTGTGTTTTTAATCTTGTTTTTAAGTTGTATTCATTCAACTTGTTTTTATTATTGCTTGTTAGCCGCCCTGAGCCCGGCCTTGGCTGGGGAGGGCGGGGTATAAATGATAATAATAATAATAATAATAATAATAATAATAATTACTTTACATGCAGAAGGTCCCAAGTTCAATCCATAGCATCTCCTGGTAGGACTGGGAGAGAACCCTGTCTGAAACCCTGGAGAGCCACTGCCAACCAGTGTGGACAATATTGAGCTAGATGGACCAATGGTCTGACTCAATATACAGCAGCTTCCTGTGTTCCTAAGCTTTTTGAGAGCTGCTGCAAGGACAGAGTGGAAAGGAAACTTTCCTTCTGCTAATTTTTCTTAGGATCCAAGCTATTGTTTTTATGTTTTCTATCATCTGTCCTGGGAATGCCACTTGGCTCTGAAAGTGTTGGTTATAATTTTTTAGGAAGAAACAAAGGCAAATGCAGTACATGCCTGAAGTGAAATGTAAATCCTGATTTTCACTGACAGCATGTGGGCCCTGGCATTGTGGTATACCACAGTTTTATTGCATTGAAAGTTGAAGCAATCTGAAGAAAGGCCAACCCACTTCATGCTACAAAAGAGATGTCCTGGTTTTCCTATTTGCCCACACTCGCAATTCACAAAAGTGAGTTTCAAATTATACATTTTTCTTTGATTACGCTTCCGTAAATTAAGCTTTGATAAGTCTCTCTACGTAATAAGAAATGAGCAACAACAGCTACAACGAAAACAAAACAGGTCTCTTCGCTACGCATGAATGTTCAGCTGTTCACTCTGTACAAAGCTCAGAAAAGAACCTAGGAGGAAAATGGAAATTTAACCATGGCAATGCATCCATCAGCACAGCCAATTGGCCCCAGACAACCTTATGTACACAGGCCATATGACTGAAGACGAAAATCAGATGCAAATGCTGCACCAAGCAGGTAAGTCAATTTGCAGGGAATATATGGTTTTAGAGGCAGGCATATTAGGGCCATGAACTCATGCGACATCGCAGCCTTGGGCCTGAGTTGATTTGCGCCAAATATATACAGTACAGCAGCTGTCAGAAAATGAAGAGTCCATTCTGCCCTGCCAGGTGAATTGCAGGTGGCATGCTGCAGAGAGTGACAGAGACGGCAGGGGTGAAAAGAATGCGGTCATGCAAATGAAACAGTCTGAAGCCCAAGGTTTCCTTGGTAGATCTATGAAGGGGAAACCTGGCTTGTGGAGATGGTGGAAGTCTCAGTCTTAGTGCCTGCAGACGTGTCCTCCTCAGCCAACGGATTCTTTCCACAACAGAGGGTGCTGATCATACAGTTACGGAACTGTAAACAAATGAACAAACAAAATCAGCATGTGGAGCTATGCCAAAAAGTCACTGATGTATCTGGGCATTAGGAAAGGCCATTCAGACCAGTGTTTCCTGAATTTGGATCTCCAGCTGTATTTGAACTACAATTCCCATCATCCCTGACCACTGGTCTTGCTAGGGATGATGGGAGTTGTAGTCCAAAAACAGCTAGAGACCCAAGTTTGGGAAACCCTGATTTAGACAATGGCTAGACAAATCGTCTAAAGTTGAATTCACTGTACCTTCCATTGTTCTTCTGTCACTGTAATCCTACATTTAAAAAAACAACCTGCTTTGTCTTGCCCCTCTCTGTCTAGTCACACAGTGAAAGCTGTACTGTATTTTAAAGCAAGTGAAAATCCTCTGGGGCCCATATGTTGATTCCCTGGCACAACGCAGCTCCCAGGGAAGTAATTGATAATACTATAATTCATAGTCTGAGAAATGCTTAGGCTTAGTCCTGTTGCCGTAAATGCTTCACAAATGGTGAGAGTCATTAGGAGCTTGCTGTTTTAATTTTAAAAAATGGGTGAGAAGGGGGACAGGCTTTTTGGCAACCAACAGAGAGCAAGTATCATCCTTGAGATAATGTGAGAACATCCTCTCCAGTCCCTTGCCACACGGTTCTATTTTAAAACAGATGATTAGGGATTTTTTTCACATTAACCATCAGCACCTGCATCAAGACACATTATATTTGGGCACATTAATAAGAAGCAAAATGCAGTAAAGATAAATTTAGCACATAAGCTAAAGAGCCTGGTTCAAATCTCAGCTCAGCAACACAATCACTTAGGGGAAGCCACCGTCTCTCAGCGTCCCTCCACTTCACATTTGTAATACGGGGGGGGGGGTAATAAAAATGGCCTACCTTACAGGGTTCGCCACAAGAATTATTAAGCTAATGTATATAAGGAAGCACTTTAAGCACTTAGGGAGAGTGCCATAAACTCTTCAAGTATTGTTATATTGTTGGAAAGCCAGGGCAACGTTGCCAATTTACCTGTCTGTTCATTAAGATGTAAATCACCGGGTTGTAGATAGCAGAGCTCTTGGCAAAGAAGGCCGGGATGGTCATAAATACAGGGCCGAAGTCTGACCCTTGGTGAGTGAAGATGTAGAAAGCAACACTGGCGTAGGGCACCCAGCAAACAAGGAAGGAAATGACCATGATGACGACCATGCGGGTGACTTCTTTCTCAGCTTTCTGGGTGGTGGCAGACTCCTGCTGCTGAGCCGCTGCCTAGAAGCATGACAACAGAGGGTGGTCAAGACTAGGCAACAGGGCTATTTGGGAATGGGCAGCTAATCACCGGAACAGAAACTAGCAGCATTCCAGTGCGGTGGGGGATGATACAGCTTCTTTAGTTGCTGTAGTTAAAGGTTCTGGGCCTCCATTCTGTTCCATCCCAAAGAATAACAGTTGGTTCCCTTCGTTGTGAAGCTGGTGCCCAATCCTTTTTCAGAAGCAAGTGACAATCGAAAACTCTATTACAATATGTTGAATTGTTAAGGCTGGCATTGGAGGGAAGAGCAGGCAGCAGGGGTGTGGAAAACTGCATGGGGTTTCATAGTTTGTGCAAATCGCAATTTGATTCCCCGTCCCCCCAAATATTTATTTATATTCTGTTTTGTAACCAGGTGCATGGACATCATTGAGAAGGGCTTACAGCATTTAAGGAGAACAGAGCCTAGGACTTGCCGATCAGAAGGTCGGCGGTTCGAATCCCTGCGACGGGGTGAGCTCCCGTTGTTCGGTCCCTGCTCCTGTCAACCTAGCAGTTCGAAAGCACGCAGTGCAAGTAGATAAATAGGTACCACTCCAGCGGGAAGGTAAACAGTGTTTCCGTGCGCTGCTCTGGTTCGCCAGAAGCTGCTTAGTCATGCTGGCCACATGACCTGGAAGCTGTACACCGGCTCCCTCGGCCAGTAAAGCGAGATGAGCACTGCAACCCCAGAGTTGTCTGCGACTGGACCTAACAGTCAGGGGTCCCTTTACCTTTACCTTAAGTAAACTATAAATGCAACATTCCACAATTATTGCTGAGGTTCTGTTTCAGAAGTGCACTGAAGGTACAAAGTCAAAACTTGGATTATCCTGGTACCTCCATTGTGGAATCTCCTTGCACTGGGCTGGGAATGATGAAGTCAGGAGAAATGTTTTCAGCCTTGATAGGTTTGTGCTGGGGAAGGGGGAAGAGTTTTATCTTTTTGTAGGGTCACCCACCTGTTTAACAGTGCAGACCAGGCGACCGTAGCAGAAGAATATAATAGTCAATGGTGTGACAAAGTGCACCAGAAACATGTAGATGACAAAGGATTCATTGTGAACTTGCGGGTTCGGTGTATAATAATCAACTCCACACGAGCACTGCATACCTTCTGGGATATACCTACAGTTAAACCAAAAGAGTTAGTGGGTGGGATTGTAGTCTATTGTGTGTGCCCCACTTCCACAAGCATTGAAGAGCTCCAACAATAGCAGCAACCCAGGTCTGGTTTCATTTGGAGGAAGAGAGCACAGTCACAGTGGGTTTTTATTTTGTAATATTTGGGTTTATAAACAGAGCATAGTTTTGGGGTAAACATCTTAATACTCCAATTGCTTTAAACTGTAACATTCATTCATTCATTTGATGCTTTAACAGTATAAATAAATTTCAACTGGTGCAAAATTTCAGTGGCCAGGTTGTTCACTGGAGGAAGAGGGTTTGAGCATACTACAACAGTCCTGGCCCCTACTGCCAATTAGTTTCTGGGTCCAATTAAAGTGCTGGTTTCGACTTTGGCAAAGTATGCCTTTGCCAAAACAGCTCTCACCTTCCAGAAGTATCTCCAGTCACTGTGGGCCATTTATCTGTCATTTCCCCCAACAAATAACACCCCTCACCCCTGATCATTAAGGAATGCTCACTAGTTGTTCTGGCTCCATTATCCCTCTCCTATCCAACCCCCCCAAATTTACCGCAGTCTGTATTACTGCAAGGAATATGATGCATACCTACCTTGACCATCCAAAGAGAGGAGGACCAGCGCATGCCAAGGCCATGATCCAAGTGAAACTCACCCCTATGATGGCATGGGTCCCACTAAAGCGGAAATTGCTCATGGGCTTGCAGACCACCACATATCTTTCAACAGCCAGGACGACCAGAGACCACAGGGCTATCTCACCTGTAAGAGAACAAAAGAAGCATCTGTCAATAAGGTGGGGGGGGGGGAGAGGAAGAAGATGAGGAGGAGAGGGAGAGATGGAAAAGCCACCCCCTCAAACAACTCAATGGGTTCCTCTTTTTCTTGTGATTCTTCATATATTATTGGACTCTAATTCTCATCCGCTCCAGTCAGCATGACCAAAGGCTGGGCATGATAGTTGTTGTGCAAAACAATTGAAGGGCATCAGGTTTCACCTCCCTGTCGTATGGTCTACTCAGCACCATACTACATGTCTGATCAGATCCTTCTTTAGTTCCCTCATTCTTCAGGTTTACGCAAGACTGTGGCAAATTCATGCACTTAAGCTCAGAGGATGAGAAAGCTGAACCCTCTTCATGCCAAACATTGGTCAATTCATTTGTAACATTTTTATACTGCTTTTCAATAATTCACTCTCATAGCTTACATCCCTGTAGCTCCTTTCCTCAAGTGCTTCTCCCTCAACCAGGTACACTTTCCAGCAGAGCCCAGGGGAGAATAGGGGGGCACCGGGGGCCAGATTATATAGGGAGGAAAGTGTTGGGGAAGATGTTGCTTTCCTCTCTTGTTACATTAGACTTCCACCACTTGTTTTGTATGGGATGTAGGCAAATCTGAGTTTGTTCTATTCACTCATTTACTAATATATTTTATTTAAAACAAGCATGCCTCATGCTTCAACACAGCTGCCCAAGGTGACTCACAACGGAGTTATCAAATCATTATATGTAGTAACGATTGAAAGCCCAACAAAACAGATCAAAACACAGGCGACATTAAAAAAAACCCAGCATGACGAAAACCAACACAGCTCTGCTGCCTTAAGCACCATTCCACATTTGTTTTGATCCTTTCTTAAAGGATGCTGTGGCATCCCACCGCTCTGTTCCTGGCATTTCTCAGCCCTTGGAGAGCAGGATGAATGCAGGATACGCCTCCCAGTGAGGGACGCTTGAGAGGTAAGGGCCCGAGTCACATAATTCTTGATCAAAGGTTTATTTTCTCTGCTGTCTGCCTGTAGCCAAACAATAACCTGGGAATAGCCACATATTTGAAGCTTCACTTCTTTACAAACCTCAGTGAAATGAATGGGCTTGTAGGGAAGCAGCACTGGGTGGACCTTGCCCACAGCAAGAGACTTTGAAACTGAATAGTGAAGGGAATAAAACTTGGATTTTTGCCCTTCTTGATCATGGATAAAGACCGCCTAAAGAGACTTGAGCCAATTTGGTCGGGTTTGTTTGCTTTTCGCTGGTTTATTTTATTTCAAATTTAGGTCTTCTCTACCCTAAGGACTGTATGTCAAGTGGAAAACCAAGTAGAAATAAAATAAAAGATAACATCACATAATCAAAATGATCGAGAGATGATGATTGAAACTGACTTGAGCACAGAAAGAGGTTTTGGTCTACATTTTGTTAACAACTTAATTCCGTTCCTGATTTACACGTGGAATAAAAGATGCCTTAGCTAAAGCCCTGCCATTTCAGCTAAGGTGTGAGATCTTACAAGATACCATCTCCGGAGGCTCTCGGAATGTCTTCCACCAAAACCATGAGAAAAATCACGACTGCAAACTTTATAAAACAGGAGAAGTAGGCATAGTGCACAGAACCGTATATCGCATTGCACTTGTGAAGTTGAACCTAGTTTTAATCATTTGCCAGCATGATCAAAAGCTTGGTTTCCCATCAATTCTATTAACATTATTCCAGCACGGTTACCTTAGCTCAGGTATGCGACACAAGAAGGCGTAAGTAGAATCTCTGAATAGTACTAGCTTTTGGAATTCTGTTGAAGAATGAAGTCATGTTATGATCTAGCTGGGATTCCTGCATTGCAGGGGTTGGACTAGATGACCGGAGGTCTCTTCCACCTATACAATTCTATAAGATCTGAAATAGGAACTTATGTCTACAGTGAATTCATAGTGGCATGATACTTGAAGGAAAACATAAAACAGACCTACCGCCCATTGTAGCAAAGAAGCCTTCAATGTTGCATCCTACCGTTCCAAAAATGAAATATCCATTCATAGATGTGTACATGGTAGTGGTGAAGCCTATTAAGACCATGAAGAGATTGGCTATGGCCAAATTTAAAAGGATGTAGTTCAGAGGAGTTCTGAGTTTCTTGTGCTGGACTGTGACAAAGAGAGTCAGAAAGTTGATTGGGAATCCCAGAAGAATCAGAAGAAACATGTAGGCAGCCAAGGCAGAGAACTTCCATGGTTCTGCCAAATAGTACTGAGGATACTCATACGGATTCCGAACAACGCCGGTCTTGTTGGACATGGGGACATAGAAATTTTCACCTTCTGTTCCATTCATGGTGGCAGCTTTGTAGGTATTTGGCTTCTTCAACAAGTATAGATCTCTGTATTTCTCTATAAATCTCCTTCTTACATTAGCTGGACTGTTCCAAACTAAGCTAGCACTGTTCCTTTTATAAAAAAAAACCACCACAGGTAAGCCCTGTGTTATTGATGTCAGCACAATTTAGACTTGGGTCAACATTAATCATAATAATCCAAGCTAAGATGGGAACTGTTAATTCTCTGCTGGGGTGACGCTCAGGTAGTACTTGTGATGGTGTTACAAAGCTGCTGCAAGAACAGATTGTGTGTGTGTGTGTTTGACAGAGTGCTTAGATATAACACAAAGATGTCAAATAGGATACAGGAAATAACCGGTTACCTGCTTGGCTTCAAGAGGCTGCTCCCTGCCTTTTACTTCAGCTAGAGTAGAAACATCATGCACCGTTTCTGAAAAACCAGATCTCCTTTGGAAGAAAGTTCCAGGGACACATATCTGCATGCTTTTGCTGATCATACCTGAAGTTCAGCTGTGTATCTAGCCTATTAAGACTTTTCTGCTGCTGAATGTAATCTCATACAGCCCATAAGGCAATAGCAATAGGTCTATTTATACAATAGACAACTGAGTTGAATCCACTTCGAAATTGGTTTAAATGCAATCGATTCCCTGAAAGAACCCTTGGAATCATGCAGATGCTCAGATTGCTTTTGTTACAGATTCCCAGTCCCTTCCTTACATTCCTCAAGCTCCTGTGTGTAGGAGCAGTGGCAGGGAAAATGGGAACGAAACTGTTCTACACTTGTGGCACAGAAGCACCTTGCATTTAAATATGCTTGCACACTATGCATCATTTATAATGTGCCTTCCAACCATATCCGAAATAGAAAGCCACTGTAGAAACCCAAATGCAGAACTATCAATAAAACCACATAATAAAAATCAGCATTAAACCATCATAACAATAAACAGTCATAAAAATCAGCAGTAAAGTTGCAGCACTGAAATAATAAAGCAGTGCTTTGTACATAAATTAACAGGGCACAATCTACTTGCACGGTGGGTGAAGCACCCTTGAATGGGTGCTATATACTTTTTTTATACTGGTTCCTTTCTAGTGAACCTAAGTTTAAATAAAAGGCATGTAATAACAGTAGGAACAAGAGAGTTTTGTTAGTAAACACCTTCATGTCAGGATTTGAACAAATGCACTCTGATTTCTTGAGCAGACAACTGATCCCCCCAAGAAACACACAAAATGCAAGATAAATCAGGTCATGCCTTGTCCTCCGCAAGAGACCACAGGACCATCAGTGTGGGACAGGAAGCTTGCACACCTGACTTCCTACTCTGATGGAAGGGGGTGTCTAATTGGGAAACTGTGTACAGGAATGCTCACCCTGCTACATAGGTGGTCCAAGGGCATGGAATCTGCTATGCGCACATGACCCAGATATCTAATACTTAGCTGTTACATAGATCTGGCATTGTGGGATTAAAGGTTTTATCTTTCAGATGGACGAACGGACTATATTAAGATTCAATAAGCCATTGCTGAGGTGGACAGAGCTCGCTGCCAAAACTGCATCATGCCAGGACTCTGCCCCAGTCATCCTTAAGGAATCATTATATGACTGGAATATGGAGAGGTTGAGTAAGGCTTTGGTGGGACATTTGCTAATGGTGGAACGATTATCCATAGCAAAACACTGGAGAGATCTAACAAGTACAGTGGTACCTCGGGTTACATACGCTTCAGGTTACAGACTCCGCTAACCCAGAAATAGTGCTTCAGGTTAAGAACTTTGCTTCAGGATGAGAACAGAAATCATGCTCCGGCGGCGTGGTGGCAGTGGGAGGCCCCATTAGATAAAGTGGTGCTTCAGGTTAAGAACAGTTTCAGGTTAAGAACAGACCTCCGGAACGAATTAAGTACTTAACCTGAGGTACCACTGTACAACAATGGAGTATTGTGTTGATGGGGAAACTGACTCAAAAAACTTAGGAATGCTTTGGGGTCAAAGACAATAAAATTTGTCAACAAATCCAATAGAATCTAAATTTTTAAAGCACAATAGCTTATTTACACAGCATATGGTTTATTATCACTTCATTACAACTTTCCTTAACTAATTGCAATATGTCTGCAATATTGTCACTATTACACAGAATAACTGTAGCTTCTGTATGAGGGCCTAGTCAGTCAATCAATCATCAATCAATCTTTCTTGCGGTCAAAGACCAGACAGATGAGGGCCTATTAATTTTCTTTAGCTTTTCACTTTTAAGGGCTTTTTGTAATGGGAGCAGTAGATATTTGTTTGGCTATATGGTTTGAAAGGCAATAAAAGGTTTATTTTTTTAAAGTGCACCACCCACATCAACAAAGTGGGAAAGGGGAAATAAAGCAAATCAGATTGACTAAGGATGCTTTTGTTAGATTGCTTGTTTGGTCCATATATGAGTAATGATAATGAGTGGTGCCAAAGTTAATATTTTAACATCTATGAGCTACCACTACAGATTTTAGAAAGCTCTTTTTAGATTAAGCATGACATATTTATATATTATCAGAACTTCTGACAGTCCGAGCAGTTATGAAGATCCAAAAGACACCTTTGATGTTATGTGGCAAGTCTGCTGCCAAAACATGTCAAGGCTCCATGTATGCTGGTATATTTATGACAGCACTGTCTAAACTTTGCAGTGTCTTGCCTTACTGATTTTTCAAAGGCTATAGCTGGTCTTGGACCCCTGAACTGTGTGAGATTTCAAGAGAGCAGCCTTGCCAGCGGGCACACAGTCCAATGTGACTCTTAGATCTCCTGACGTTGGCAGTCCAGGTCTGCCTATCATCCTGTGATCCTTGCCTCCCTCTGGCATGTTCCTGACAGATCTTAATGGAAGGATGTGTTTGATATTGTTTTAACATTCTGATATTTGCTGCCCTAGTTTCCTTCGGGATGAGGGGGTGGAATAGAAATTTAATAAATATCAAATTGAACAAGAACTCAGTATTACGTTTGTCTCATTCAGATGCTCTTTTTTGCGTTAGTTTCCAGTGTTCCCTGCTCCTTTCCTTCCAAATGCTGAAGCATCTCTGTTCACCTGCCTTTGGGCTTGTTGCCTCATCACTCTCATCTTTCACCTTCCCCTCCTGGACAACCTTTAGTAATTTGCCTTATATTTTACTTCATCAATAAAACCTCATTTTTTGGAAGTGCTCTGGCCTAGTCTCTGGTTGCCTCTCTGCTGAAGAGCTGACCAGTACAATTCCCAATTTTGCTGACCAGCCCACATGGGTGCAGCTTTGGCTACTGCTTTGGCATTTGCAGCACCTGTATCGTTGATTGACACTTAATTTTTTTTACTCAATCTTGCTACAGTTTCCTTGGCCGCTGGACCATTACCCCCTAGCATGCTGGCTGATGCTGATGGAAGTTGGAGTCCAACAACATCTAGAGCACCAGAGGCTTCCCATCTTTGCTTTATAACCATCAGTGTGTCTTCGACAATGTGTGTATTGAAGTTCAGCGTTTCAGCTAATGGAGCAGCTTAACTATTTGGGGACCCAACTCATTCTTACATCTGAGTCATATTTACAAATGTCACATTATTGTTTGCTTCTAATCAGAGTGTCTTCAAACTGCACCCATACCCCCCCCCCAAAGTTCAGCTCTGTAAGTGATGTCAAAGTACTTAAATCCTTTTGGCTTCTATTTCACGCCCCACATCTCAAGATGTGGCTTGCAAAATGTTTTCATAATTAGGGTGCCTACAGATGTGGCAAATGTCAGGGTCTTTAGGTCATGCTAAAGGACCCTAATGATTCTGATACCTCAATAAATGAGAGCTTTTATCTCTTGAGTTCTATGAAACTCCCACTACAATAATTCTTTTCTAAAATAACAGGAAGCATTTGGCAGTAAATAAGACCTTGAAAAAGAAATGTCCTTCGTGTAAGTACAGTTATTTTGTCAAAATTGTGGAAGCCCATTTTTCATAATAGCAGTTCAGAGAGAGACAGAGAACAAATACGAAAAGAAAGGACACAGGTTTCTTTCAAAAAGTGATATTTTATTGAAAACTGTCATAAAACCCAAATGCTAAGGAGCCAGTCCAGAACTAGTGCTAGCAGGTGCAAAACTAGCATATTTTTCTTCAGGCAGAATCTCACCCTAAAAGGTTAGCAGTGACAAATTGACAGGCTGTTGTGAAAATGTCAAGAATACATTCTAGCATTACGCAGGGGGGCTGTTTAATAGAAAAAATATAGCTCCATAGATCCTCTCTTCTGTTTTACTCTGTAGATGTACAAATCACCCACCAGTCATACAAATTCTGCAGTTACACTTGTTAAAAATAAATATATATGTATACATTTCTCTTGGGGGGTAAAACAAAACTTGGCATGTGCCAGTTTCATATACAAAGAGTAGGAAAGTAGGAATATCATATATAATTTTCTTTTTTATACTCTGCCATCAAACAAGCTGTTAAGAAAGCCTAATGGACCTCAGGAACACTTTACAGAAACCAAGCAGCAGGATGCATGAGCGTCTGGTTTCCCTCACTGGCTGGATTCATCCGTCTTCCTCCGACAATATGGGCAACAGTTATGTTGCAGCACCAGGAGCTCGTAATCTTCTGAATGAAACATCTGTAAATGAGGGTTGCAGATGTCAGGTGTGCAGTGGCGTAGCGTGGGGGGTGCCAGGGGTGCCGGCCGCACCGGGCGCAACATTTTTGGGGGCGCATTTGGCCGGCCCCCCTCGAGGAAGCGGGAACCTCTCCAAGGCGCAGCGCGCCGTCGGTGGAGGAAAAGAGCCTCGCAGCAGCAGCAGCAAAGCCGGGAGGAGGAGGAGGAGGAGCGAGCCTGCTAATTGCTTGCTGGGAATTAAGCGGCTCAAAGGCAAAGGAAAAGAGGTGGAGCCGCTGGCCCGGCCGGGAGGAAGCTGGAGAGAGCAGCGCGCCAAGCGCACGTGACGCAAAGGGCCTGCCCACGTGCAGGCTGAGCTCCGTGTGGCGGGGGCGGAGGGAGGCGCTCGCTCTTTCCAAAGAAGGACCCGGCTACTGGATCAAGGCCACAAGGGCCCATGTAGAGTGAGTGGCCAAGCAGACGCGTCAATGAGAAGCACTCAAAGCAGGACCGGGGCACAAGAGCGCTCTCCCTTCCTGCTGTTTCCAGGGGGTGGAAGCGTCGCTGCCTCGCGGGCTTCCGAGATACCCTGGGGTGAAGTCCCGCTTCACCTTCTTGGGAGTCCCTCCAGTGGCGTAGCGTGGGGGGTGCAGGGGGGCCGGGCGCAACATCTGGGGGTTAGGGTTAGGGGGCGCAAATCCACGGGTTAGGGGGCGCAAATTACTTGCTTTGCCCCGGGTGCTGACAACCCACGCTACGCCACTGCAGGTGTGACTCAATTTAAGTCACAGTGTAGGAAGAAAGTGAGTGGACAGGGTTGCTCTAAAAGCATTTTTGGTGCTTTCTCCATTTGTATTAACGTGCACATAAACTACAACACTCTTATGACCCTGGTAACATCAGCCATATCACCAGGAACTCATTCACCTACACATTCTCCCACATAATATATGTCAACAATGCACTTCTAATGTTTCCATTGAGCAGACATGTCAGTCTCTATGAAAGACAATAAAGGGACACAAGTCTGACATCGAAAACTAGCAAAAATGATTGACTGGTTAGACATGTATCTTCTGGGCACCCAAATCAGAATTAACATCCATTGTCATATAACCTCATCATCATATAACCTGATTGGCAGATAAACCAGAAAGAACACACAAAAAGAGAGGACGTTGTATAATGTGTGCTTAAGTTTTGTGCAAGCAAATCAAGGCAAATGGCAATAAACAGGTCATCTGGAGGAGCCATGGATATAGTCAGAAAAAAGAGGCAACCCCCAAACAGAAATGCAATTTATGATCCACTTTAGTTCAACTTGGCTGCTTCATTTAGGTCTCCCAAAGGCTTTACAGCAGCCACAAAGTGATGCTTTGCCTTGCCACTTATGTAGTAAAGTTAATTTTAAGGCTTTTATTTTATTTTAAATCATTAAAATGAATTAGTGCCACAGGTATATTTACAATTAAGCAGCAGTGTATGAGGGCTTTTAAAAATAATAATAATCCTGTACTATTTTATTTGGTGGTACAACTGAACATTTATCAGACTCTCCTGAAGTAAAATATTGCCCTTACCTGAAAGCAGAAAGGACACGTGGTAATGGGATTATCTGGGAGCAGGGATCGGAAGTACTGCCACTGTAACGGCTTGGGCCAGCGTTTAACCAGCACATCTCTCCTGCTCAGTGACCCAAGAACTGTGCGGTTCACAACCACAGGGACAAATTCCGACCCCCCTTGCTGCAGGAAACAAGTGATTGAGAAAAGGGAAAACATGTTTGAACTTGGTAGATCACTGGAAAGGCAAGGTGTTGTTTTTTTCAGGGAGTAAGTATGAGGTTTTTGGGGGGAATAATCTGCATACATTAAAGCAGCATTTCTTTCATGAGTTATCAGTTTCTTTTCAGTTCTGTATTTAGTCCTGGAAATATTCCTAGTTCTGGAGAGCTTGCATGTGTCCTCTTGCAACGCGGTGCTGGAAAGCACCGAATCATAGAATTATAGAACTGTAGAGTTGGAAGGTAACCCAGGGTCATCTAGTCCAACCCCCTGCAATGCAGGAATCTCAACTAGATCATACATGACATATGGCCATTCAACCTCTGCTTAAAAATCCCCCAATGCAGGAGAGTCCAC